AGTTTAAACTTTTAGATGAGGCGGTCTCGCAATTCAACATACTTCATGCATTATCCATTGCATTCTCACCACATCTTTTTGTAATTCCAATACTGTTTGGTTGTTCTTTTACACCGGAGCAATAACTCTACTAACTTATGAACATACTTAAAAGAAATGTGTGCAAAATAATAGTACCTAATTACTGTTTGTACACTCACCATCTAAGAAAATGTTGAATACCTGACATTCAGGGTTTGCTTAAGAAGAAATGTGATAAGTGTTCAGAATACAAGCCGCCCAGGGCTCATCATTGCCGTATCTGCCGAAGGTGTATTTTGAGGATGGTGGGTGTCTCTTATCTTTTTAACAAATCCTCTTTTACATGCAAAACAATGTATCTGTCTGCTAATTTGCCATAATATTTCAACAGGATCATCATTGTGCCTGGATAAACAATTGTGTTGGTCACAGGAACTACAAGGCATTTGTAGCTTTAATCTTCTATGCAACTGTTGCTATAATCTATTCCTCGGTATGGTTAATTTAGTCATATATGCTTTAGCTACTTGTGCTCAATCTGTGCGAGTATAATGTTTGTTGTTTTCAGGTTATATTGGTGAGCGATACAATTCATAAGGATTGGAATTTGGATGGAGTGATGCATCTCAAGCTATTTTACGTGAGTCAGTTATCATATTATATACTAATTAACATGTTTGATGTCTAGTGTATTGGGTTTTGGCCTTTTCTTCCCCTTTTCCGTTTTTTAGGTGATTGTTTATCTAAAGCTTGTTGATTGTTAGATTGGTTGATTGTTCTTTAGTATGTTTTTGGTATGACGGGAAATGTTTTCGTGAATGTTTCTTCAAGAAGATATTTTTCAGAATTTGGTTATATTGATCGAATTTCAGCATTTCATCTTCTAGAGAGTAGGGAGCATGGGACTCTTTCTCCATCAGCTGCATATACTGTGATTTTCGACCATTACCAGACTGTTATGTTAGGTGCTAGGTCCACCATTAGCAATATCCTGACCTAAAATCTATGATGCTTAGACTCTTCAAAAATTACTATCGGGCGTGTGTCGGATCCTCCAACAGCTATGCATTTTGGATAATCCGACATGGGTGGAAGGTCTGAGCCAGAGCAACACAGAAAAATATTTCCAATAAGTTATTTTATTTTCAAGTGGACTTCATATTTCCTTCTTATCTTTTCCTACTTGATATTAGGTTGTTACTCTTTCCAATGGGGTGAGTTCAAAATAATGCATTGAGATGAGCCTAACCAAATAATTTTTGCTTCTACTCTCGCTTTCCCTTATAGTGTGGTAGAGTGAATTCCAGGTGGTTGGAGAAATCTAATGTATCATTCTTAAACAGATTGCTGCTGGTGTTGTGCTTATTGGCTTAAGCTTGACACTTGGAACTCTCCTGGGCTGGCATATCTACCTTACAATGCGTAATATGACAACTATAGAGGTAATCACTCTGTCGAATGCACTAGTTTCACCTCATGGATTTCCCTATTGATGTAATTGCTAAGCGGAGGTTCTTTAACAGTACTACGAGGGAAAACGAGCAGCATGGCTGGCAAGTAAATCTGGGATGAATTATCATCACCCTTATGATGTTGGCGCTTACAAAAATATCAATCTGGTACCGTCTCTCTTCCTCCCTCTCGTTCTCTCCTACATAAATTGTAATGAAGTTGCATTCTGTGTTGACCTATTGATATTTAACAGGTATTAGGTCCGAACATGTTAAAATGGTTATGTCCCACCGCGGTGTCCCATATAAAAGACGGACTGAGCTTCCCTACTTCACGTGAATATTCATAACACGATCTCCATTAGCAGCAAGTGTAAATCTTAGTCAAGATCGTTGCCTCAAAACGAAGGTAACTAACAACAACGATACAGACATCATTTCTATAACTTCAAGACAATATGCAGTTGCCTTCCACACACAGTAATCAGGTCGGAGATTTTCCCATGGCATATCCGTCTACTGCTACATCATTCGAAAACTCTCAGTATATGTCTGTTTGTCGCGCAAGAAGCGAGATTGTTGTACATGAATTATGATCATATTGTTAGTATAGTTTTATACTTCATCACTTGTATTCTTTTGGTGAAACTACCCTCTGTAATATGTTGAAAGAATTGAAGAGGAAGGGAAGGAGTTGATGTTGCAGCAGAAGTGTTTTTTAGTATCGTTAGAGATTTATATGTCAGTAGAAAGTATAGAGAACTTTTACGAGAATCGGATTTAAATGGAGCTAGTATTTGGACAATTACGATTCATATAGTCGAGTTCAACTTACTTAGAATTGAGATATAGCTATTGTTGTTTATTGTTGTGTGAAATGTGCTGTTAATACCCTTAAACCAAATAAGTATACCTTTGTTTTTTTTAATTAAATTGAGGTTTAAAAGGTGGAAAATTGAATCTTGTTAAGTTCAATACAAATTGTTCGAGTTTGAGTTCTGATTATAAACACTTTGTCCCTTAAAGTGGAATTTTTCAACGCGAATACAGATTAATCACGTCCCAAAGCAGTTACCAGATACGTTTTTTTTGAAAGAAAAATAAAATAATATTTGAAATTAAAGTTTAAAAAAACATTTGAAAGTAAATTTGTGTTTATACCTGAATTTCACTTGGAAAAAATTAAAGTTTTTTTTGGAAGTACTAATCAAATTCGTATTTCGAGTTTGAAATTGAAATAATAAACTAAAAAAAATAGATATTTTAAGTTTGAAGATTAAATAATATTTAATAATATTAATTTATCCAAAAAAAAAGAAAAATAATTTTTTAAGTGATTAGGGTTTTAGCAAAAAAAAACATATATATACATCTCTCTTCACTTCACCTTTTCTCCATCTCTTTGAGCTCGCCGTCTTCTCCTCCTTAGCACAACTTTTCTCTACCAAAAATGGTACATTTTCTGCTTAATCTTCTCATTTGATCTCTAATATATCAATTCTTTGTATTATTTGCTTTGTTTTACAATATTTTTACTTAAATTTAAAGTTTTGAATCAACTGCTATGATGGTTAATTAGATCTGTATTATGTTATATTTGTTTATAATGATTCTGGTTTGTAATGAATCTTTATTTTGTGTGTTTCTTTTATTTGGTGTTTTTCTTGTTCCATTTTTATGTAAAGGTAAAAAATTTAGTTGTACAATTGATGTTTTTTTGAGATAAAAATGGAGGTTTTTGGAGGAACTAGTGTGAATAGTAGAGATTCATCCTATTAGCTTTAGTGGGGTTGCTCCAAGATTGTATTTTGACACAAGTTTGGTTATTTTATTGGAAAGTTTTTAGTTTTTGGAATTGAAAAAGTTTTGGGTTTAATAAAAATTGTTGAACCGTGAAATTTTGTAATTTTCCAAAAAACTACAAAACATGATAGTGAGATCTGTATAAGTCTTTTGTTTCGTGGGAATGCTTTTTTTTTCTGATTTGATTTGTTGTTGAAAAGGTATAAATTTTAAAATGTTTATTGAGGTAAAAATAGTGTTTTGGGAGGAAGTGCTACAATGTGTAACTAGTGGTAGTATTGGAGTCATATTGAAACATGTTTTGCTTTTTTCAATGGAAGCTACAATGTGTATAGTAGTACAAGTATTGGAGTCATATTGAAACATGTTTTGCATTTTTAATGGAAGCTTCAGTTTAGGAATCAGTAATTTGAAGTTTCAAACTCAATACAATGATTGTTATTTTGTATTATGTACGATTTTGAAATGTAATGAGTCCTTATTTTGTGAATTCCTTATATTTTGAACAAGTCTGGCCATTTTATTGGAAGTTTTAGTTTTGAAATCAATGGTGTTAGTTCTTGAGAAGATAAAAGGAAAGAAATTGGACACTTTTGGACTAGCATAACTTGAACTGATTTGGGGTCGCGAGGTAAGTCTTGATTGAGTTACCAAGAAAGTATGTCCATTTTATTTGAAGTTTGATATTTTAAATCAAGAATCTCGTTAAGGTTGTTATTGATAAAATGTATCGAGGAGAAGCACTCTGTTGGTTGCACTTGGGAAACAAGTTCATGATATGGATGAATTACATATAGTTTGCGTTTCTTTCATTTTGTCAGGGGAGGTTAGATGGTATAATCCATCAAACTAGTTGGATTTGAACTCTATATCTGTTCTTCTCTATCCCAATTTTGTTCTGTTCCTCAATTCCACTGTGTAGTCGCGTTTTCTTTAGTTATTACTTGTAAAAAAGCCTTTTTAGTATTATCTTGCTTGCTTATTGAGCTCCTTTGTAATATGTGTATATGCCTAACATCGTCATGTTTGGGGATGGAGATCTCTCTTGTCGTTTTGTTCCATCCTCAGGGTGTAATTATCTGTGTACTTGTTTTCCGTTAATTTTCAGTTAAATGCTTAACTTTGATTGTCTTTGCCAAATGTTCCATAAGGAGATTTGATAAGTTGATACTGTATTTCGGCCTGTTAACGACTATCTATTTTTGTTCATTTTTATTCAATTTGCCGTAATGAGTGTTTACATTATATTTATTTGTAGCCTAAGCAAATCCACGAGATCAAGGATTTCCTTCTGACAGCCAGAAGGAAGGATGCCCGGACTGTCAAGATCAAGAAGAACAAGGATATGGTCAAATTCAAGGTTCGCTGCTCCAAGTACCTCTACACACTCTGTGTGTCCGACTTTGAGAAGGCTGACAAGTTGAAGCAATCACTTCCTCCAGGTTTGCACTCTTTGACTGCTACATTTTGCCAATTATGGTGAAATTTTCTGTTATGTTTATACGTCCATGTCTTTATTAATTCTAAGCTTCTCCGCCTTGATTTAACACACCCAAACTCTGTAACGGAACATTTTTTTAAAATTGAACTTGACTGTTGCATTACATTACTACTTGTAGGTTTGAGCGTGCAGGATCTGTGAAGAAGGATTTATGCTTTTCAGAGTTACTAGGGAATGGAGAATTGTGTTTTTTTTGTGATGTCTTGCCCTTTGGCATGTCTAAGATTTGAGCTTTGAGATATTACTTTGGAAAAACATTACTCATATTGACAATGAATTTTGATTGTTAGAAGCCAAAGTAATGTTGTTTCATGGTCTCATTTGAGTTCTTTTAAGTTATTTTCACTATCTTTAACGTATCCGGTTTGATACTTGTGTTGATGAGAGGTGACAAGTATTTGACGGAGTAAGTCAAGGTGAGTACTGCTATTAGTAACACAAACATGTACTTCATTATTTTGCCAAAGTTACTAGTGGGACATCATTTGGCATTTCAATATACACAGTAGGCAAAGAGTGAAGTTCCACCAGTATTTTTGGGATTAAAGACTCCTATACCAGATCTATAACCATGACCAACATAGAAACAGCCATTGCTCACTGACATACCCCAAACACAGTTGCACCAGTCTTGTTCGACCACAATATCTTCCCAGTTTTCGCGTTAATAGCGTAGATGGGGCCTCTTGGATTTTGTGAACCTGCTAACAGGACTCCATTGGCAACAGGGTTTGATCTACCATTGTCTGGAACTGCAGTTGTCCATAAGATTTTGCCGGTTTGAGCATCCATTGCCACCCAGGCTCCGCCTGTTGTGATGTTCGTCGATGGATACAGTGTGTAGTTTAAGTCACCGGTGTTGACAATGCCGGTGTATACCCTCTTTCTGTCTGTGGCTGCTCCCCATATACCTCCTCCTCCTGTACCTCCAGGACCAGCCTCCTGCACACATCAACATCATTTCATTGCTTATATGAAATGAAATAGTCGAAGCAGACACAAGCTGATCAGATAAACGATTGTTCTTCACTCACCGTAGTCCAGAAGAGTTTGCCATTATCACGCTTCAATGCCCAAGCGATTCCACTCTTCTGCACAGCTGCTACAATGTCTACCTTCTTCCTTCCATTAACAACCACACTAAGCATCATCGGAGCTTCCCCAAAATCATAATCCGGGCTCGGGCCAATTGGGCAATTAGGGTTTGTCGAATTTGCACATGCAACAAACCACACATCATATCCTCCAAGTTGTTTATACCATTTGATCTCACCGGAATCCAGATCCAATGCCATAACCGAGTCGGAGTGGTTCTCCGGCTCGATGCACTTGTCGGGTTGGGTCGGATCTGTATGGTTCTGCTCCTTTTGGCAATCTTCGATGCGTTTGGGAACAGAGTAGAGGTTTCCGGTAGCAATATAGACATGGTTTCGCCGAATCGATGGATGGACTACTTCCCCATACCGCAGCGCCAGAATAACCACCCATTTTTCCGCCGTTCTCCGGCAACATGAAGGTTTTCCATAGAATTTTTCCGGTAACAACATCTAACTTGAGGACGCTACCGCGAAAGTAACAACATTCATCGATTTCAACTCCTCCTTCTAGCGATGACGTAAAAAGCACTGCAAAATGGAACTATTAAAAACAAAAAAAAACGATTGAAATTTCACAAGTGCGATCTGAAGATAAAGTATGTCCCAGACATAGTGACAACACTAGCAGGATGTTGATCCAATTTTGTACTCCAAACAAGATTTCCATTACTTCTTTTCAATCCAAGAACCAAACTTGGTCCATAAACACCAACAATCAACAAATCCCTATCAAACACAACACTTGGTGTTGGCCCTTTAAACTCCCATTTTAGCCTCAATTTTGAAGCCTAATTTTCGTTTCTCCATAAGCATATCTTTGATTGTACAAATCACCACCATGGTTTATCCAATTTCCTATGGTGTGATGCTGGGAAAAACAAAAAAAATCTTTTACATTATACGATGATAAATTTTATTGGCGGTTATTCAACTCTACATCGATGATATTGATAGCTCCAAAATTATTTCTTTCAAAGTTTTTTATATCATTTTTGATATATTTTATATGAATTTGAGTAAAATTCTTTGTTCGAAAATTGTGATGAATAAATATCGGCTAACTTTTTTTTATACGTAAAAATCATTTATCTTCTTTCATCTTCTTCATATTTGTTCCTTATTATTATGAGATTTGAAATAAATCATACGAAGATTTTCTTTCAAATCAAAATCTTCGTAGTTGATTTTCATTTATCTTCATATTTGGAAGATATAAATTTTTTGTATATAAAAAGAAAAAGAAAAAAAACAACGTTGGGGCTAAAATAAAGAAAGTTCTGTAAACTAAATTATGAAGAAGATGATAGGTAGTGGAGTGCTTTCCTTTTTTGAAAAATGTGTAACTAAAAGAAGAAAAATATTTTTTAAGTTAATTATAATGCCAAGTGTCAATAAAAGAAGAAAAAAATATTTAAAAAAATAAAAAAGACATTGTTTTAAGTCTTTTCACGAGCTCCAGGGAAGTGCAATACACATTTTTTGTCATATCTGTATTTTGTGTCTGATAGATACATGTTTTGAACAATTTAGGTGTTCAATAGGTACAAGTCTTAGTTGAGGTGTCTAAGTGAATTATGCGGACAACTTTGAGGGGCGGTCGATGACTTAAGCCATTATTATAAGTGGGAACAAAAAAAATTAGAAATTGAATTACGATTTTACCCTTACTATAAATTAAAAATTAAATTACCATTTTATCCCTACATTTAATTAAAATGTAACAAATTATTAATAAATTAACTATTAAATAATAACTATATCATATTGTTTCATCCGTCTTTTGACTTTTGATTTTCTTCCTAATCTAAATTACTCTCCCATTATCTATAGTTATTCACTTCTATTATTAAAGAGGGTGAATGAACAATTCAACGGTATTGATTATGACTTTATAAGAGAAATGCATGACTAGTATATATATATATGTAACAAAGTTTATTCGATGTACTTTAATATAACAAATGAAATACAAGATGCTAGCGAAATAATCGATCGAATAGTAACTAGGGTTAAATGATGTATAGAGAAAAATATACTTACATTTGGATGAGAATTGACACTAATTGAAAGCATAGAGAAAATCCATAATATAAAGAGGAACATATTGTTAGAACATTGATGGAATATTGCCATGGGAAATATAAATAAGTATTGGTTCCCTTAAAGAGTTAATTTATACTTCTATATATAGAAAAATAAAAATATAAGAGCTTAATTGTGGTGGTGGTGGGGTGTTCTTCTCGTTAAAATTTAAATTCGTAAGATTTGACTTTTCATTTTTAATTCAATATTTGATTAACTTGTAAGTCATGGACAAATTAATCATATGCATGTAATAATTAATTAAGAGGTAGCGTCTATATATATATATATAATTTTTTTTTATCAATAATATTATATGGTCTATGATTTTATTTAGTTATATATTAATACTCTAATGATTTTATTCAATTAATTAATTAAATTAATTCTCAAGGTTTAATATAATAACTAGTAAAATTTATCGCACTTCGCGTGAAAATTTATTATCATGAAATATATAATAATACTTAAAATCAATGAATCATTAAAACTAAAACAGTATATCATCTTACATACAAGATTATGTAGTAACAAACATTAATAATGTAAAGGACAATGAAAATTATTACATCTTATCATTTATTCTTAATAATCTAAGCATAAGTTAATCACTGAAAAAAATCCATACCAGAATCTGTAACACAAACAGTGGTGTCCTCTATTTATAAATAACAAAGGGTAGTGTGAACAAATATTTATTATGCCTTATCGGAAATGTTATAACTATTTGAAAAAGTTACAGCCCTTCGAAAAGGTCACAACCGTTCATAGAATCGTAACTTTTCATAAAAGTAGCAACTCTTCATCAAAGTCGCATATTAAACTTACCCCTTGTTGCAAGTCCCAGACATAGTAACAACAAGTAAAATGATACTACAATAATAATTTTAGTGGTAATAAATATGCATATTAGTAAAGTTTAACTATCACTAGTTGAAGGATTATTATATTTTTTTATCATATATATAGCGATACAAACGACACATCGTTATTATTCTTTTTTTAATGTCAACAAAAAACCAAACTAAGAAAGGAATAATTTGAAAACAATCGATCAAGTGTGTGTTGCAAAAGAATGTGTAAAAGATGGAAAAAAAAGCTTTTGAGAAAAAGATACATGCATCTATTTTGCAATATTATTGGATTCAGTATCGATCCAATGTCTTTATAGACTTTATAGAAATTTATAAAAAGTGATAATTATGATTAAAAATAATGTTTAACGAAAATTAAATTATTATCATTAATTAATTATTAATAAGATTATTATCAATCCGCAAAATCAAGTTGACAATTATATCTTATTGTTTTGCTTCTTTTACAATTTATAAAAACTTGAGTATATGATTAATTTAAACATGGAAGTCCTATAAATGCAACGTTATAAAAATAATAACAATAAAATAATGCAACATTAAACACGCAAAATACAGGCAAGAAATTAGTAATTAAATCTTTAAACATTTTTCTTTGATTTTGACTTTGTCTATAAATTCCCTCTAATAATTTATTTGCATTTTTATTTAATTTATATTATTCTAAAATACTCCCCCTCCCCCCACAATTTTTGTGACATAAGTTTTACTTTGATACGAAATTTACGAGATTTTTAAAATGTGGTATCTTTAAATAAGCCATGACATGTATGTCTCTATAATTCTTATTAATGGTAAAATAAAAGATTAAAAAAATAAAGGAGAATGGTCTGGTAGACCCTTATACATACTTGTATCAATTTGTATTCTAATATTTCTATTTAGCCTTTTGTAATCTGGACCCCGGAACCTAACCAAAATGAGATTTTTAAACCCCTCTGACCATGTGTATAGCTCACTTTCTCCTTCACTAAATGACATGTCATATCCACGTCAGATATATTAATGCCATGTCATAATTATTTCATAACTATTTTTAAAAGTTATTAATCAAAATTATTTAATAAAAAATAAAACAATAAAATCTTAATTTATTTTTTAGAGTATTATTTCACCATTTTCTTTTCAACTTTTTCTTCAACTTCATTACTCCAATTTCATGTTTTGCATTTTCATATTTTTTTTGTGTTTTGTTTGATCTATTGATATGTTTGTTCGATGATAGAAAAAGTGGTGAAGATCTTTGTGAGCTATAATGGAAAAAGATGAGACCTCCGTACATCCAATTTCCCAATTCACAGCCAAAATCTATGAAGAAATTTCAAGCCAAGCCAACTTTTTTTTCCCTTCTTCATAATCATTTTCAGCCATTTTCATCCCAAATACAACCTTTTTCTTTTCTTCTTCAGAATCTATTAACATCAACTTACCAAATCGGAGCACTAAATCGCAATAAATTGAAGCATTAATCGCAATCGCCGGAGACCATTATTTCATAGTGGAGTAAGGGAGAGAGAGGCGGCACCGGTCAATGTAGAGAAGAACGAGGTGGTGAGGGTGCAAAGTAATGGCGGTAAAGAGGTTTTTCGGTCAGATCTAGTGGTGGGATGACTTAGGTTGTTGATTTTGTGGAGGTTGGAGGAGGAAAGGAAATGGTGATGGTGTACGGTGGAGATGTAGACAGGTGAGGGAGAGAGTTTATCGATTTCGCCGACAAAAATGGCGATGACGGTGGTGATAGTTTTCCATAAATTTTGGATGAAAATGGTGAAAAGGATGGGATATTTGGTGAAGAAGAAGGAATTTTAAATTAATTGTTTTTTTTAAAAATTTATTTATTATATAATTTTAATTTTTTTTAACCCAAAAATGTCATTCACTCGCCTTAAGGAGTGTGAAATCACACATTTTTGCCAACTCAGCTATTTTAAAGCTACATAAGCGTAGTCAATGGTCAGAAGGGTCCGATATATTGTGTTTTATTAAGTTTAAGGGTTCAAATGACAAATAAATAAGTAGAAGAGTTCAAAATACAAACTAATACAAGTATAAGGATCCACCAGACTATTTCGCCAAAAAGTAAATGTCTTCATGTATAAAAATGTGACATTTCTTTTGCAACAGACTATTTAACTAGCTAGCTAGCTTTCTAAAACCAAAAATATAATCAATGAAAAAAAATATCATTTTAAGAGAAGTATAGTACATGATTGTTAAACAAAATAAAAAAAAAATATTGTCAATAAATTAATTTATCACTAAATAACTCGTAGCTACTAATTTTTTCTTGATTATCTATCACTAATCCAAGCATTAACATACTTTTTCTATTATATATATAGCGATACAAACGACACGTCGCTATTTTTTTAAACTTTTTTTTGGGAATGTCAACAAAAGACCAAACTAAGAAAGGAATAATTTGAAAACAATCGATTCAAGTGTGTGTAATTGCAAAAGAATGTGTAAAAGATGAAAAGAAAAGCTTTTGAGAAAAAGATACATGCATCTATTTTGCAACTTGCATGGTACTAACAATTTATTTTTTTCCCCTTCATATATATATATATACACACACTACTTTAGACTTTGGAAAAAAATAACTTGTTAAAGTTCAAAGCTCCACTACTTTAAACATAAAAATATTCAAAAAAATAAAAAAAATTGTCTTTCTTCATTGTGGTTCAATCTTCTAGCTCAACTAGCAAGTCAAGTAGTTATGAAGATCCATCGACATACGAAAAAAGGTACGTATTTATGTAATTTAGAAAAATAACTCGTTAAATCGAAAGCTCTACCTTAAAAAAAAGAAAAGTCAACAAAAAGTTCTCTTGAAGTACCTCTTCTTAAATCTTGTTTCCTTAGTTACTATTAGCTAATTTTAGATGAAAATTTACTTTGTCTATCGATAATTGACTCGTTAAAAAAAACCCTTAATGGCAAACTAAGTTTTTAGAAATATATATACATTCACGAATGATATTCTCTTTTCTTCTTTGAATTTTTCGCCGTCCTATTTTTTCTCTCTCCTATTTGTTCTTAACATAAGAAAAAAGAGAAATAGGTTTCTTGCTTTTGTTCTATTTTCTATATGAAGCAGTGATTGAATCATGATTTTTATAAAAATAATTATAGAATGTCAATCCTCTCTAATTTCAAGAAAATCCAACAATTTGTATATTACTTAATCAATTACGATATAATTTTTTGACGAAAGATAATATCGATGCGTTTTATATATATATATATAAAAGAATTAATGGTTTTTGTCTTTTTTGTTTGAACTTGTACACTAGGTAGTCACTGCTAAATTTTTAAGGAATCATTATATATTGGATGGTCCTTCTATTGTCCAATAACTTTTCTCACAATTTTATGAGCAAAATGATTCCACTTTTATATGAGATTTAATTTATGATATTATGTGATTATTAATGAGATATCAAGAAAATTTTTAATTGTATGTATAAATTAATCAAATTGATAAGTTTGCTAATTTTAAAAAATTATATCTTCATAAAATATTGCTAAATTTAATGACATTAAGTGTTTGTACCTTTAGCATTAAGTGTTTGTACCTTTATATAAAAAAAGGTATAATTGATCCCTTCTAATGTAGGACTCTTTCAAGGCCCTATTTATATTTATTAAACTCCAATTAAGCCAATAAAACTCAAGGAGTCATAAACAAGAAAAGTTAATTTAAAGTCTCTAGGACCACATTTATTCTTCAAAGGTATCAAAATATTTTTGAGAAAAAAATCATAATTATGGACCATATTGAAATATACTCTTCTCTTTCTTCACAAGTGACACAAAATTCTCATTTAACTTGGACAAAAATATTGTTCACTTTTTTTTACACAAAAGATTCTCCATTACAACTTGTCTTAGGACTATATGTCTATATCATTGAGTACAACTTGTTCTTTTATTGTCCAATAATATATTTTGGGAATCCTATTCAATTAGGGTAGAAACAACCCTTTGCTACCATCCTTGACTAGATGTACGTATATATATATATATATATATATTAGATAGAAGTTTTTTTTACCATCATAATTATTTCAATCGTCGTTGAGCTGAAGGACTATCAGAATACCAGCGCGCTAGCCATTGGTAATAGTAAGTACTTAATTGATTAGTTATAAAATGAGAGAAAACCCTTTAATATATTGGACCACAAGCGTCTAGGTTTTACATAAAAAGGTTAAGTGAGACTACTAGAAAAATCAAAATTTTCATATATAATAAGGAATTTTCGATAGAAAATGTATCGAAAATAATTGTGACAATGCAAGTACAATTTCGATGGAAGATTATTATTATTATTATTATAACAAACCATATATTTATCATATGCTAACCAATACACTCTATTTATTTATAACATCATGAGGGTAAATCCCCCTTACTACTAGACATCAAGTATCTAGGTTTTTAATTACATGAAAATTAAAATCAGAATTTCGAATCGACATAGAAAGTCAATTAGAAATTCTGATTTTTCTCACACATTATCGCTCTTGAATCATGTAATTTTCACTTTAAGATCTCGCGATGAGATATTGGTAACACTTTATTTTTATCATACGTATGTATCTATGTATGTACGTATTTGTTTTATGCGCGACGTCCTCCAGTACCACTCTCTCTATGGCAATTGTAGTAAACAGATGCAACAGGCAATCCAAGATTATAAAGCTCAGCAAAGTCTCTTGTGTTAGAAATTTTGACGCCATCCTGGGGGATACACTGTTTCACGTCCCAATTGTCGAAATAAAACCAAAACGAATCGATGAATTCCCATCGTTGGCGTTGGATTCTCGTAGCATACTATTTCATTTCCTAGTATAAGGTAAAATAATCGAATAATTAATGACGACATAAAAAAGATTTTTAAAATTTACGATCCTTTCGTGATTTTTCTAGCTAGGTTATTGACCATATATGTGTGTGTATATGAGAGATAAGTTATCATATACTATATGATTTATTTTCTCAAAAACTGTTACTTTATAGTGTCAATACATAGAACTTTGTGTAAATGACAAAACAAATATATTTATAATTAAAAGGATTTACCAAATCTTGTATCTGTAGTTGCTGGGATATCTGTGACCAGCCTGAAAAAAAATATATTAAATAAAGTGTTAAAATAATAATAATAATAATAATATATTTAGTATAATTATATAAGTGGTGTTTAGGTAGAGTGTTATGTGTATTTACGTACGATATATCTGCATTGTGAAGGTAGAGAAATTGTTTTTGATAGACTCTTGATTTAAGTAGCATGTATGAATAGGGAATATAGTAGTGAAGAAGTTATGATGAAAATAATCGAGAAAACAATACAATAAACAGAGAAAAAGAAATAACGTATTACCATAAAAATCGAAGAATAAAATATACGAGAGATAATAAAAATAACAATAATAACGACGATGATGATGATTAGGAAAACTAGAGTAATAGGATTTTCAGTACACATGACATTATGATTTTATGTTATCAATTGTGGGTTTTCACTTTGCATTATGAGCCTAACCAAGTTTCTTGATTCGAGTTTCATCGTCATTATTAATTCAAAAAAAAAAAAAGAATTTTTACGTGTTTGATCTAATAAGATCGAAAATACTAACCAGTGTAGATACTCCCTCAAGTTAGGATTGCTTGGGCTTGGAGCATCAGGATCCACCATAATCTTCATAAAAAAACAATTACAAAAGAATCTCAAACAACAATGTAATCAAAACATAAATAAAGAAAAATTAAAAGAAAGTAAATACTATCTCCAAATATTAATAGCGTCACAAAAAATAGAACCGAGAGAGTCAGAGAAAAGTAATAGTCAATAGCTCATGAAAACAGTGAAAACATATCTAATACCGTCTTGATAATAGAAAATGAAGCCTTTGTTTAACTCTCAGAATAGTAATATTATCACCTAAAGTAAAAATGAACGAGCGAATATATAAAAAATAATATAAGCGATAATAGTTAATAATAACAAAAACATTAGAAAAGAGTAATAAACCTCTTATAGCTTCACATAAAATAAATAAAAAGAGTGAATTTTCTTCTTTTTTTTTTACTTAAGAGTAGTTAATAGCTCATGAAATTAACATTAAAATAATATCTTAAATCGTCTTGATCGTTGAAAATTAAACCTAAGTTTTAACTCTCAGAATAGTAATAGTACCACGTAAGATAATGCAAGTGAGGATGAATATATAATATATAATTAATAATCCAAAAAATTAGATAAAAAATATTAAACCTTTGTGACGATCTCCAAATGATAATAGCGTCACATAAAATAAGAGAGAACAAAAAAGAAATACTATAATTAATAATATAAGAAACAATAGTCGATAATTCAGAACATTAAACCTCTATAACTCTCCAAATAGTATATAATAGTGTCACATAAAATACAATAGAACAAGACAGAGCGAGTAAAATTTAAAATTTACCAGAGTGTAAAAGGTGCGAAGATCGTCCCCTCCGATATAAACCTTAGGTTGCATAACAACTTGTGAAGGTTTCAACACACATGCATTGTTCACTTCTCTATTATTATAAACAACTCTAAGATCAACAGACCTAGTGAATGGATCTAAAACTTCACCTATCACACGACCAACTATCAATGGATCAACTCTAGGCATGATAATATAAAGTTTATATATAATATATATAATATGACAATATGCTAGGATATTTTAGTTTTTTCTTCTTTCGATTGTTATTGCAATGATAAAAATTTTTATCAAAGGGTATGGCTATTTATATGAGTAGTAAACTTACTATGTTGATATTTTATTGGTGTCAAAGAATCTATAACCTTTCTATGGTATTCTTTTACTATGAAACTATATTATTCTTAGGTGATGTTGATCTTTGTAAGATGTATAAAACCAACTCAAGAAGCCATGCGCCCTAAGTAGAGGTGTCACATGTGCGGATTAAATCAACATTCAGGCCAAGAACGGAAATAAACGATTATGATTCAGTTCGCCAAAACTAGCTTGAGTTAAAAAGTGTACATTAAAATTTTCGTCGATTATTCCTTTTTCTAGATAAATGTTTGGTAAATTACACTCTTTTAGAAAAATCTTAGGTAAAAATTATACCAAAGTCTAGATAATCAATCGAATACTCAAATTAATATATGTTGACTATGCTACACAAAATTCCTAATTTCCGCCAATAATCATAATTACTCCTATTGACTGTTTCAACTTATGTGAAATATTTTTTTATGTACTGAAAAAATGACATTTTTATCTCTTGAAATTCTTCTTTTAATATTTATATTTTACTCATCAACTCGACTAAACTACAAGATATGTGAAACTCACACATCACCACTTATTTAGAAGAATAGTTTTAGTACTTTATGTATATTTGATTTATATGTTAAATTTTTTTTTTAAACTTCGTATCAAATGAAAAGTATATATATAAAAAAAGAGGTGGGATTGGGGGTGGGGGTCACTTACAAGAATCCAGCAGATGGATACAAATGCTAGCTGTAGATGCAAAGGGTGCTATTTTAGATAGCAAACACACTATATTTAGTCATCTTTTAGAAACAAATAGGATAGGGTGGAGATTTGATCAAATATATTGTGGTCGTTCTAATTTACGTGATATAATTTAATTTAATTTTTAAAATTTGATTTTACTTTAATTTTTTTTTAGATATTCATAAATAAACAATCAAAGGTAGCTTCAGCAAACAAGCAAGCATTTCAACTTGAGATTTCATATCTAGATATCTCAATTTACGACTAAACACTTTAACGCGTTCGTGCACTGTTACATAGACATCCCATGCTGATCTGACACATAATTTAGTTGGAGTATTCAACTGATAAAATAGAGACAAATTGATTAATGTTTATTCATGCATACTCAAAAGTCAAAATTATAGTATTTACTCGATCTCTACCTGGAACTAATGAAGTTTGATTATTTTTTTTCTGATGTTACGGATGTTATTCAAACATTATAAGAGAATTAAAGTGCTATAAGTCACAACTTCTGATGTCTTTATGATATACATTTTTTTTTCATTGACTCATTCTATCGCAAAAATTCATCGCTAATTCTATTTTTTAATAATAATGAATTAACAATAAATTATTAAACGACAAATTAAAAACGAATTGACCATTTAATTAACTATTTTTCCCATGTAGTTATTAGTCATGACTTCGTAAAGAACCAACTCCTATTTAATTAAAAATCATAATTTAATTACCAAAATATTATGTTAATTACTATAGATTATTTAGTGGTATATGAATGTCAAGTTTTATCTCTATTTTAATTATTTATTCTTTCGTTATTTTTGAGTCATGACTTTATAAAAAACGTAAATATACTCTTACAAATGATTGTGCTTTTTAAATAATCTTTATGCTGTCAATGTATACGATGTAAGATACCCTTTTAGTTTATTATGGCTAAGAAATCATGTCTAGTCAATTCAGATAAAATATTCTTGGATAAAAAATTCGAACATGAACGTGAAGAAAGTGATTTAATAACACAACATTCTAATTCATATCTCATCTTTATTAAAGGTATTGGAAAAAGGTGGGGGCAAAAAGAAAGAAAGATACTATTTCCGTTTTAATTTATTTGTGTTATTTTAACGTGACACAGCATATAAGAAAGTAAAAAAAAGAAATTATATTATGTAATTACTAAAAATATGTTAAATGTATTAAAATATTTTTTAATTTTATAAAAAATTGAAATCAAAGAGTTATTAAATACAAAAAATATATTTATTTTAAAATAAATTTAAAAAAAAATTGACAAACAAATTAAAACGAAACGAGTATTCTGTATAGATTCTTTTCACTTTTACATCCTCCAATGTTATAAGACTAAATGTATGATTCTCCCAACCAAAATGAACCTCACAACTTTGTCCAATCATGTATATCCTTAAAGCTTCTTAGCACACCTCAACATTCCAAAAATATTATAGTATTACCAAATTTATTATTATTATTATTATTATTATTATTATAATATATTTAATATAATTTCATAAATATAGTAAGGATAAAATAGTGTGTACGTAAATTTAACTTTTATTTTATTGAGTAGAGAGACTTTTTCTAATAGATCCTCAATTTAGATAACACATACTAAAAAACAACGGAGAAGGTACGTAATAGGGGTGGTAATTGAAGTAAGAAAAAAAAACGATGATACTTGAATCAAAGAATGAGATAATAGGAGAATAATAATAGTATATATTAATAGCTATTATGATAAGAAAACTAGACAATACTCAACTACCTGCTAATCTTCTTCTATATATATTCATTTGACCTCCATATTTTGTCCTCGGTAAGCTTGAGGTTGTGTTATATCTTATCTAAATCACTTCTAATACTTTTTTCGGTTTACCTCTATCTCTCTTTATACACACACCCATAGACAATCTCTTACACATCCTCGTTGGTGCATCTGTGCATATCCTCTTTGTTGAAGAAGAAGGAAACTGACGATTGAAACATGTCAAAGGGACGGGTGCAACACAGTTGACTGATCTAACCGCAGCAAGTGTTGATGAGGAAGGAAGCTAATGATTGGAACATGTCAAAGGAACAGGTCCAACGAAGCTGACCGACGAAATTACATTAATGCTGTAGAATTAGAGTCGCATAAGGATTAGACTAATTATATTTCGTCTAGAATTATATTATGATTATAATTATATACGACTAGTATTAGATTACTATTAGAATATTATTATAGTAGTAATAAGTATTGTAGTATCTAAGTATAGTTAACTTAAGACTCTATAATTCTATCCTATATAAGGAGTTTGTAACTCAGCATTATTATTATTATCAATTTATCAATATTGATCAACCTATCAATACATTAATACTATCAATACATCAATAAATCCTTGATTTCTTTCTCTACGTGAGATTTCTACATGAATTTCTTCATTCTTTACATGTCCAAACCATCTTAGCTTTGCTTCTCTCATTTTGCCCACCGCGAAAGGCTACTTTCACCTTATTCCGAATATCTTTCTTCAATCGTGAGTAATTCATGGGTTGTTATCCTTTAAGATAGACGTGTATTCAAAAGTGAAATGTCTCTTATTTAATCTTGTTAGACATTTATGTACCAATTTACAAATATAGAACTAATACTTCTAGAGAACCTAATTCTTCAAGTAGTAACATGATAGGTGAGAGTTCATATAACTGATCTTATATATGTTAATTCGAATATCTTTAAAAAAATCATGTTAGAAATTAGTATTTTAGTAGAAATATAAAAAAATTATAATGCTATGTAAGTATATAACTTAAATCTTCAAACTTGATTCATATAGTCTAAAAAAATAGCATTGTTAGTAAGAATTCACATAATTGACACAAATTTATTTGAAATTTAAGCATAGTGATCGTTCGTTGCTACAGTATGAAATTTTGGCTCCGTCTCCGATAAAAGTTTGTTCTACGATATTTTTCAAGATTGAGCCCTTTTCAATTCTTGAATTACTATTAGGGACCAAACAAGGGCATTGTGGTTGGATGAATAGGGATCATCCATCCATCATGATACAAATGTAGATTATTCAGGATCCCAATATGAATATCGAAATATTGGAGGAGAGACAAGAAGAAAAGAATTGCTATTGGTGGACAAGGCATCATAATTCATAGCCATGTAACGACTAAAAGATAAATGAAAGAATGAAATTGCATTCAGAATCACTAAAGCTTTTGTGTTATTTATATAAGGTATTAGTTATAAATATTCGTATTTATTATTACGGTTAAAATATATCATTACCGCTATTTTTTTTATTTGTTATAGTGACTTCACTTAATTAAAAATAGTTAAAATTGAAATTAACAGGTGAAGAAGAGATGCATGACATTTTACAAAAATATATACAATTTTTCAACACATGTACACCTATAAAGGGGAGAATTGACTGCCCAATTTAGAAGGCATAAGGAATCCAATTCACCTAGGATCTTTTCATATTAGAGAAATCTAGTCCATATATATAGAGTATTCGGATATTTTCGTGGGATTGTTCAAAAAGACGTATACTGTAAGACGTTGTTCGTTTGTATATGCTTCAATTATTCCTTAGATAACTATCCAGATGGGAGCAAGAGAGTCATCCTTCGATAAAAAAAATTACATTGTATAGGTGCTAGCTCACCTGCTTACACGTAGATTCTATAACTTCTATCAGTAAAGATTTGAGTGTTAGTGCTATAGATTCAACTAAACAGAATATTTTTGACACGTTATATTATGTATGTGGCGTAAGATATTCACATGAACGATATTCATGGTTAACTCACAAAAATTGTACAAGTGGTGAAATACGAGATTCTTTTCGTTTTGATGGTGGTGATAAGAACCTAAATTCTAAAAAAAAAAACTACTCTAATTATCTCATGTAAAAGCTTTAAGTTGTAGTAAGTAGCACGTGTATAAAATATCTTTCAATATCACTCTAAGTATGGGCCCTTTTTCCTAGTTCATTTCAAGAAGTTCACATTTACAAAAATAACCACAAGTAGTAAAACGTTGCATGATAGTGGGTAGTGGCTATTTATGCAAATGTAATAAATCTTCCAATCAACAAAGTTGACATTTGCAAAAATAGCCACTAGTAGTAAATATGCATATTTCATTTCCTCATATACAATAACGGTGCGGTACCTCCAAAGTCAAAAAATCTAATCAATTACACAACAAGCAAATTAATCAATGAATAACAAAATAAAAATAGAACCTCACATTTGCAGAAATAGCCACTTTTACTCATTATACAAATTACATATATATTAATAAAATCAACCTTTCCAAAGTCAAAATCCAATCAAATTACACAACAATATATCAATAAATTAACAAATAAAAATAAACTTTCCCATTTGCAAAAAAATAGCCACTTTTACTCATCATACAAATTACACATATATATTAATAAAATCAACCTTTCCAAAGTCAAACTACACAACAATATATCAATAAATTAACAAATAAAAATAAACTTCCCCATTTGCAAAAAAATAGCCACTTTTACTCATCATACAAATTACACATATATATTAATAAAATCAACCTTCCAAAGTCAAAATCCAATCAAATTACACAACAATAAATCAATAAATTAACAAATAAATATAAAATTTCACATTTGCAAAAAATTAAAAAAATAGCCACTTTTTTGTTTTCTAGTTAAACTTGAAATGGCCATGGCCAATTCTTCACATCTTGTTCATCTTGAACTTTACCTCTATTCTTCATTGCAATATTCCCATTATTTCCTTCAATATAATCATAATATTTCAAGAAAAATGCTAATGTAATAGAAATCCATTCAAGACAAAAGATTAAAGCACATAATCCACCAGCTAATCTCAAAATCATAACACATCCTCTTCTCTGACATAGGAATCAATTTCCAAGAAAATCCCCTGTTTTCGTGAATATAAGCACGAAAACAGAGCCTTGGAAAATTGCTATGAGTACGGAGCACACCATGTGTGCTCCGTACCCTCTAGTGTCAGCACTCTGCGCTGACACTGTGGCGCAGCCAAAAACTGCGCCACCTATGGTAAGGATGTGAAGGAGGATGAATAAGAATCCGTAAAGAGACGGAATCAATCGGAGGGATAGAGTTAAGAAAATGCAGCTAGAGGATGCACCAAGAAGAATGTAGTTACAAAAAAGGAAGATTTTGTGGGTTTTGTGGTGATGGGGTTCACTTGAATCTGAATAATAATTGTTGAATCCCATTTTTGATGATTTTTTGTGGGATAATTTTGTGTGTGTATATATATATATAGGTGGGTGGTGGGGGTGTAAACGGTCATATTATTTGAAATTTGAGGTTTATTATAATGTTAGAAGACCGTTTGGGAAATGAAAAGTGAAAATATACAAAATATTTGGTGTAACGGTTACTTAAGGAGTCATATGTATTACGGTGTTTGTCTCGATTTGCGTGTATCTCGATTATTTATGTGGAATATTTGTTACCTCTTGCAAAGTATGTGTGGATCGGGTAGCTGTATCTATCGAAACTCTGAACATAAGAGAAAAAAGGATTTCGGATATAGTAATATGTAGTTGTCTCTGTTGAAATTTTTGGAATCAAGACTCGTTTACTGAAAAATGTATAGACAAGTCATTTTATTTTAATTTGATATATGTATAATGCATAAACATGTCTTTTAATATGGCCTCAACCGATATTTATGGATGTGTACAAGTAGATAAATAAAATTAAACAGGTAGTAGATACACAAGTTTTATGTGGTATAATACACGTAGGTCACCATGTAGGACCGCAAATTGTCATATATTGTGCACGTAAATCGTGTGTATCTACTTATTGAATTAAATACAAGTTTAAGTATCTATTTGTGTGAAAATAAAATTGAATGGCATAGATATCAAAAAGGACATTTATATGCTTAGCAAAAGTGGAACACAATTATTGCAAAGAATATAGTGTGCATGAGGTTATATTTACCTACCAAAAGCTATTCTCAAACATTTTCATCAATTTGATCTTAAACATTTCTCATCATTCAATTTCATAGTTTACTAAAGTTGATTTCACAAATAAACAGTTGCGTATTTGAATACAAATATTGATATTATAATAAAATCAAGAATCCCCAATTAGAACTCTGAATATAGAAACCACCCTGATAGGTAATGCTTCCTTTCTAAAAGGGCTTACATGATATACAAATAGATTTAGTCGATATCTAAATACATGTATCGAACAATCGATGGGAATTAAAAAAATAAAATAGATAAGCACTTGTGTTAGTAAGAAAGTGTTTATGAACACTTTTTTCTGATAAAATAACTAATATGCCCACAAAATATCTGTGCAATGTTCCCATTTAACACCTTTTTCTCTATATAGTCAAAATTTATGAACAAAAACTGGAAAATTTTATCAAGCCATTTTGCGTTGAACATGTCGATGGATATGTGCCAGAAACTCGACATACGAAAGTCCAATGGATGTCTTGTCTTCAACCATGTTGGAGAAAAACAACATACCTGAGTACAGAATATACAAACATGTAAGAAAACAGTAAGAGAATACCAAAGAAGAACAATCGACAGAGTTACTCAAACACATCTTTGTGTTTTAATCTGTATAACTTTTGGTATAGATGATCATCTTGAAGTTGGTTGTTCAAAAGAATAACGTCAAGTTGATGCTCGGGCAAACGGATATGTTATATAAAATCAACGATTGATATGAATGTAGCAAAGGAAATGATCACCTCAGCTTTATGAGGGTAAAAGATATCCTTCCTTAGGTATCGTGATGATAAAAAAGTGAGTTACTGCAGATGGCTGAGTTTGTTTTATGTTATTGTATGATCGAGTATGAAGTATTATGCATCCAAGAATAGGAGAGTGCAAAAAATATTGATATAAAAGCATCGATATCTATGTAGATCATCCACATAATACGGTAGTTCAACCCATATTCCACTTTAGAAGTGTTTCTTTTTGTTTGTTCTCTTTTTTACGTTTTTTTTTTTTGTG